GGCATCATGTAATATTTGTCCTTTTGTGACTGGGATATTTCACTCAGCATAATGTTCTCCAGAGTCAACCATTTTGAATAATATTGCATGAGTTCCTTATTTTTCAATGCAGCATAGTATTCCATTGTATGAATATACCACAGCTTCTCTATCCAATCGTTTGTTGATGGGCACTTAGGTTGCTTCCAACTCCTTGCTATTCTGAACAAAACCGTACAAACATGGGTGTGCATATATCTGCTTGGGTATCAGTTTTGGTCTCTTTGGGATATATTCCCAGTAGTGGAATTGCTGGGTCAAATGGTATCTTTATTTGCAACTTTTAGAGAGAAAATTTATCTTTTAACAGAGTTTGTACTCTAATATACAGAATGAAATTGTTTCAGAAGAGATATAGTCTGTTTATTGACTTTCTAGAACTATTATGCTAATACTTGAGGTATTAAGAAATTTAGTTCAATGATCTGCCTGCTATAATTTTGGTAATTCTTTTAGACAGATAGATGTTCAAAGCTTCAAATTTCTCAATATACTAATAGAAAGTTATTTGGATATATACTGAAAATTCCAAGTTTATTTATCAAAATAGACACACACACACTCAGAAAGTAGTTGTGGGGGGGGGAGGAAACTTCTCTTTTATGTTTTACTCTTTTCAAGTTTATTTCATCAGTGGGTGAACTATTTATTGAAAAGAAATTTTTTGTTTTCTCTTTTAGGTGTAATCCCTTTTCACGGATTTTCAATGTATGGTAAGTTGAGCTTTAAAATATTCATAGTTTTCATTACACTTTCGAAAATTGAATAAGTAAGATCACACTTTATATCACATCACCCACACACTTAACAAGTGACTGTGAATATTTTAAAACATTGATTTAAAGCATTAAACATATGTCTAATTAAAAAATTAAACTAATCGTAAGGAAAACAAGGCATTTTTAAAAAAGCAATGGTCATGATACTTGTTCACATAATGATTGCTTGACAATTTAAAATTACAGCATAACATGACAGTGATTATATGGTTTACTATTTTCAAATCCAGTGTCAATTAGATAACCATCCACCAGCCGCTCCACAGGAAAAAGATGGGCAGTCTCCTCTGCTGCAATTAACTGCCTCTGAAAATCCTCTGGAGAGTCAGCTATGAGTGGGTGTCAACTTGATGGTATATAGCAGCATATAGGAGTAAAATGAGTACTTTCAATTACCAATCTAATTCTCTTACAACTCTGTAGAAAGGAGAAAAAAAACACACAACACAGCACAATACATCTGAATTAGAAACAGAAGAGAGGGCTGTTACTAACTTTGTGCTGCTGATATGTCCAGATTACTGGTATACGCAGCATCTGTCCTCCAGAGCATGCAGTTGTCCTGAATATGAAGTCCATATGAAACAGGCTTGAGAGCTACTAGTACCTTTCTGGCCTCATTTGTCATTGGACACGGAGCTTAGGAAGTTCATTGAGGGTCAACACAAGGAAGAATGCTCTATGCCCAAATACGACTTACTTGACAATTTTCCTATATTACATATAAGCTTGTTAAAGACTCTTGTCTCCTTTATCCTTTGTTCTACCTCTTACCTCTAGAATAAACAGAAATGTTTTAATATCTTATTATTATAGCCAAAAATTAGCAATGAATTATTACTTTGTTCCGTATCAGACAACCTTGGTCAATGATATTATAAAAAGCTGGAAGCTAGCATACAATGAGAAGGATTCAAAAGGTTGCATTATTCTGCCTACTCCTAGGCTTGAATTTCCTAAATTATCTTGAGTAACCAAAATGCTTGCATTTCCTTTATTATCTTTAGTAACCAAAATATCATTATGTAATACTCAAGGTCATAGTGACATTCTTGCATACTTCTTTTTCATATATGTGTAAATTATTTAAAAATTTAAAACACATAAAAAGATTTAAATGATATATGAGAAGGGTGTACGCCAGGGGTGTGTCCTATCTCCATACCTTTTCAACCTGTATGCAGAGCAGATTATCCGAGAGGCTGGGCTCTATGAGGAGAAGCGTGGCGTTAGGATTGGTGGAAGATCTATCAACAATGTGTGTTATGCAGATGACACAATCCTGCTTGCTGAAACTGAGGAGGACCTCATGCACTTACTGTAGAGGGTCAAGGACTGCAGCCTTCAGTATGGACTGAGGCTCAATGTCAAGAAGACAAAGATTCTCACCACTGGACCAATCGGTAGCATCAGGATGGACGGTGAAGAGATTGAGATTGTTCACAGCTTCAGTTTGCTTGGCTCCACTGTTGACACTCTTGGCACCAGCTGCCAGGAAATTAAAAAACGTATTGAGATGGGAAAGTCTGCTGTTAGGGACCTCTCTAAAGTACTCAAGAGCAACGGTGTCTCTCTGGAAACTAAGATGCTCCTGATACAGGCCATGGTCTTTTCAATCACTTGCTATGCATCAGAGAGTTGGACAATGACTAGGGAGGACAGAAGGAGAATTGACACCTTTGAGCTGTGGTGCTGGAGAAGAGTATTGAATGTACCATGGACTGCCAAGAAAACAAACAGATTCATTCTAGAGAGGGTTAAACCAGGCTACTCCTTGGAGGCAAGGATTCTGGGGCTTCGTCTGACATACTTTGGACATGTTGTAAGGAGGAACAGGTCCTTAGAGAGGGACATCATGCTTGGTAGGGTAGAGCGACAGTGCAGGAGGGGAAGACCCTCTATGAAGTGGATTGATTCAGTGACTGGGGTAATCCGGATGGGTGTGTCAGAGGCAATGAGATTGGCACAGGATAGAGCAGGGTTTAGGGCTGTTGTACAAAGGGTCTCTGTGAGTCTCAAACGACTGGACAGCACATAACAACAACAACACCTCTACTAATAAAAATATCCGGGAACTCTGTTGGCTTAGTTGTAAGCAGTTGACTGTCAACCCAAAGGCACACCATTCGGATCCACCAGCTCCTCCAAAGGAGAAGGATGGGCAGTCTTCTGTGAGATTTACTGTCTCTGGAAACAGGCTGGGTGGCCAGTTTTGAATCAGTTCCATCTTGACAGCACATAGCACCAATGAAAATATTAGCCCTTTTACTCTTCTGTTTCAACAATTATAATTGCAAAAGCTGTTCGATAGTTTTCCAAAGGTTTACCTGATTGACTTAGAGGACACTTAGTAATGTCATAAAAGTCTAATTTTAATACCAGTTTTCAGTGTACAAATGCATTAGAGCTTCACAGGATACAAGATAACATGCAAAAATCAGTTACATTTATCTGCAGTGTCACTGAGAATACACGAAAGGAACTAAGAAAAATAATAGTCATCACATTAACTAATCACAACAGTAAATACTTGGGAGCAAATATAACTAGAGACACATGACCTTACAAAGAAAATTACAAACTATTACTACAAGGAACAAAAAGAGACTTGGAGAAATGGAAGAATATACCATGCTCATGGATAGGAAGACTCAATATCATGAAGATGACAGTTCTACCAAAGACAATCTACAAGTTCAATGCAATCCCAATACAGATATGAATTCTATTCTTCAACGAGATGAAAAGGGCTATTTCCAGTTTTATCTGGAATGGAGAGAGACCTCGAATAAGTAAGGGACTCCTTAAAAAGAGAAACAAAATAGGAGGCATCACATACCCTGATTTCAAATCCTACTGCAATGGTTAACTGAGGAAAGAAATAAACAGCACCACAGTAATGGTAGGAGATTAAGCCACCAAAGTTCTTGAAATATTAAAAAAAAAAGTATGAGGGAGAAAACTGTTTAAAAGCGATATGTGATTAGGTATTATTGTCATGACAGGAGCCCATAATGAAGGTTGCATAGTGGAGTGGACCTGAGGGGAGGGATTGTAAAACAATGAAAGAATTTTTTCCTTTATTTTTCAAAGAGTGTATGGGGTGGTGGGGGGAAAGGGGCAGGGTGAAAAGTGAAACAATGAATGAGTAGAAATCCAAAGTCTCTGTAAATTTTCATTAAAATTAACAATAATAAATTTTTTAAAGTATTAAAAATACATGATAGCTTCACCCTCTGCCTATTCACATTTATTATTACTTAGATAGGCTAAGGCTTCAATAGCCAAGAGCATGATGTCCCCCTCCAAGGACTGGTTCCTCACTGCAACATACCTAAAGTATGTCAGATGAAGCTTCAGAAAACTTGACTCCAAGGAGCAGCCTGGTTTCACCCTCTCCAGGAAGAACCTGTTTGTTCTCCTAGCAGTTAATGGTATATTCAGTTAATGGTATATTTTGTTTTTCTGGCACCACAGCTCAAAGGCATTAATTCTCCTTCTAACATCCCTAGTCATTGTTCATCGCAATGCATAGCAAGTAATTGCGAAGATTATGGCCTGGATCTGGCACACATTAGTCTTCAGACTGACAGCATTATTCTTCAGTACTCTGGAGAGGTCCCTGGTAGCAGATTTTTCCAGTGCAATTTGTCTTTTGATTTCCTGGTTGTTGGTAACATGAGTGTTGACTGTGGAGCCAAACTGAAGCTCTTAACGATCTCAATCTCTTCGTCGTCTTTTATGGTGCTCCCAATTGGCCCAGTGTTGAGAATCTTTGTTTTCTTGATATTGAGCTTCAGTACATATTGAAGGCTGCAGTCCTTGACCTTCTGCAGCAAGTGTTTTAGGTCCTCCTCAGTTTCAGAAAGCAAGATTATGTTGTCTGCATAATATAGGTTGTTGATGACTCTTCCTCCACTCCTGATACCACATTCCTCCTCATAAAGCCCAGGCTACCAAATGACCTGCTCTACATATAGATTAAAAAGATATGGAGATAGGATGCGTCCCTTACGCACTCCCTTCCTGATACTGAACCATGCAGTGTTTCCCTGCTCTGTTCTGAGGACTGCTTCCTGGTTCAAGTATAGATTTCACATAAGCACAATCAACTGTTCTGGGATTCTCATTCTCCCCAAGATTAGCCACAATTTGTTGTGATCCACAGAGTCAAATGCCTTGCATGGTTAACAACACACAGATAGACATTGGTACTCTGCTTTCTGCCAAGATCAGTCTGGCTTTGGTGATAATGTCTCTAGTGCCACGGCCTCTTCTAAGCCCCATTTGTATTTCTGGTAGTTCTCCATCATTGTACTGTTTTCAGGCATTTCTGAACAATCTTTAGCAGGATTTTGCTTGCATGCTTTATGAGTAATATTGTACAATAATTTCCACATTATCAGGTCATCATTTTGTTTGTTTTTTTGTTTGGAATAGGCATAAATATGGATCTCTTCCAGCCAGTTGGCCAGGTAGTTGTCCTCCAGATTTCTTGGTACAGCCTGGTGAGCACATCCAGGACAAAATCTATTTGTTGAAATATTTCAGCTGGTATTCCATCAATTCCTGGGGTTTTGTTTTTTGTTAAGTCCTTCAGAGCAGCCTGAACTTTCTCATCTATCACCATTACCTCTTGATCATGTTGTTTCTTGAAATTGTTCTGTCAGCCAATTCTTTTCGGTTCAGTAACTCTGTATACTCTTTCCATATTCTTTTTATACTTCCCGGATCATTCAGTATTCTACCTATAGCATCCTTAAGTATTGCAACTCGAGGTTTGAATTTGTTCTTCGGTTCCTTCAGTTTAAGAAATACAAAGCAAGTATGGACTTTTTGATTTTCGGACTCCAGCTCTTTGCTCATTTCACTGTAATACTTTGCTTCGTCTTCCTGTGCTGTCCTCCATTCTACTCCTTAAATTAAGGTTTTTCTCCTTTGCTTTGGCTTCTTGTCACTCTTATGCAAGCTCTAAACGCTGTCCTACCCTGTGCATCCTCACAATCTCTACCACATTCAAACCCATTGCTGTACTCACTGTTCAATCCACTTAGTTGAGGGTCTTCCTCTCTTTGGCCATCCCCCCACTTTTCTAACCATGATGTTATCATTGTTGTGATTATTGTTATATGCTGTCAAGACACCTGTGCCTCATAGCGACCCTATGCACGATGGCTCTAAACCCTGTCCTATCCTGAGCCAGCCTCACTATCTCCAGCACACATTACCCCAGTGACTGTGTCAGTCTATCCACTCTTGCAAGCATGATGTCCTTCTCCAAGGACTGGTCCTTCATCGTAACATGCTCAGAGTATGTGAGATAGAACTTAAAAATCATTGCCTCCAAGAGCAACTTGGTTTCACCCACTCCAGGATGAATCTGTTCTCTTGACAGTCCTTGAAATGTTCAACACTCTTCGTCAGCACAACTCAAAGGCAACTACCCCTCCTTTGTTATCCTTAGTCATTGTCCTTAAGATATCTGATTGTGAAATAGGCGTAATTGCCAAGAACTGTGTGCAAAAGAAACTTTAATTTAGCATTTATTAGAGAAATTAAGCCTCGAGGATTGGAAAAATCCTCTCTTTCTCTCCTTCTCCTTCTCCCTCTCCATCCCTCTCCCCCTTCCCCCCCCATGTTGGTCTCACAGCTGTTGATCATGTTGAAGATATTGATCAAAGGCGAACCACGTGTCTGCCATTGAGGCGGCTGTATATGACATCCGCAGGGAGGATGGGCTAAGGCCATAGATAGAAAAGCCATTCTCTAAAGTCTTGCCACCATACCCAGCTATGTTCATTGTCCTGGAGTCATAACTGACTCATAGCTCACCCTCCATCAGGTTTTTAGAAGCTGTGAATCACATAGGCAGTTGTTGTTGTTAAGTGCCATCGAGTCATAGGTGACTCATAGAGACCCTGTGAATGAAAGTCCTCAACACTTGTGTGGCTTTCAGCCTTTCTCCAGGTTCATAGGCTTTCCAGAGGCAAGCTATTACGGAAGAGGATGCCACATAGGCAGAGATAACTCACTTTCCCCTGTGGAGTTGCTGGTGGATTTGAACCTCTTGAGATGCAGCAAAACTCCTTATAAACTGTACCACCAGAAATCCCTTAAATCAACTATGTTGTTATTGTTGTTATAGCCCCTCGAGTCTGAACCGACCCATAGCTGACCCTCCAGCAGGTTTTCAGAGGCAGTTAATCGCACAGAAGGAGCTTGTGCATCTATCTCTTGTGGAGCAGCTGGTGGATTCAAACCACGAGCCTTTGGAATTGCAATGCAGCTTCTTGCCACTAGGCCACCAGACCTCCATGGAATAAAAATGATAATATTCAATTTTAAAATAATGTGATAAATCTAAGTAAATTGATACAGAACAAGCCTCTAGGAGTATGTTAAGTGAAAGAGCAAGGTACAGAATAGCACTTAGTCCTCCAGTTTGTGTTAAAGGTGTGTGTACTTAGATGTTATATATTTGCATGGAAATTTTCTAGGTGTTTTACTAGAAATGTGTAAAGAAAAGGAAATTAGAGGTCCAATGTGTGGCTCTGTTGATAAATTTACTCTTCCTTGTGTATCTGCTGTATTGTTTGAACTTTTTACATATATGTTTATTCTCTTTCAAAATTATTTCTCTCTCTCTCTCTCTCTGTGTGTGTGTGTGTGAAATTTTAAAGTTGTCCACAGATGAGTATTTTTACAGCAGTGTATTGTTTTAGGAATGTTTTTGTTTAGAATCACTTCTGCATTTGTACAATAATATCCTCTGTTTTATCCTTTCAGTTGCACCACTTTGTTTTCTGTACCACGAGCCTTCCAAACTGTACCAGATATTTCGCGAGATGTATGTGCGTTTTTTCTTCAGACTCCATTCCATCTCTTCTCACCCTTCTGTAAGTTCGTAAAAACGAAACTGTTGGACCAAATCATGCTCTAATCAGTTCCTTTTCCTTCCTGAACAAAAATTGTAGCAGCAACAGATTTTCTTTAATCTCCCTCAAATATTTCCCTTATGTTGTTCTTGTTATATGCCATCAAGTTGCTTGAGACTCATAGTGACCCTATGTATAAGAGCCCTAAACGCCGTTCTATCCTGTGCCAACCTCACCGTCTCAAACACACTTATTCCCACCACTCCACTCACAGAATCGATCCATGTCATTGAGGGTCTTCCTCTCCTGGGCCATCCCTCCACTCTCCCAAACATGATGTTCCTCTCCAAGGACCAGTCCCTCCTTGCAACATGCTCAAATTATGTCAGACGAAGCTTAAGAATCCTTGACTCCAAGGAGCATTCTGGTTTCACCCTCTCCAGGTCAGACCTGTTTGTTCTTCTAGCAGTCCATGGTATATTCAATACTCTTCTCCAGCACCACAGCTCAAAGGCATCAGTTCTCCTTCTATCATCCTTATTCACTGTCCAACTCTCCGATGCATAGCACGTAATTGCAAAGACTATAACCCAGATCAGGCACACCTTAGTCTCCAGCCTGACGTCGTTGCTCTTCAGTACTCTTGAGAGATCCCTCACAGCTGACTTTCCCAGTGCAATTCATCTCTCGATTTCCTGGCTACTGCTGCCAAGAGTGTTGACTGTGGAACCAAGCAAACTGAAACTGTTAACTATCTCAATCTCTTCACCATCCATGCTGATGCTGCCAATTGGCCCAGTGGTGAGAATCCCTCATCTGCTCTTTTCTGTAGAATGCTTGTCTTTCAGATATTATTATATATATTTAAAGATTGAGTCAGACTAGGAAGAAGGATTGGCCATCCACTTCTGAAATGACAGGCCTTCGAAAACCCTATGTACAATAGAGAACACTTAGACTACCATTTGGACTAACAGACATGGTGATTGAAACTGAGATCTTAGAAATGGAAGCACAGAGAAAGAGGAACAGCTATAAGGAGACACTAGTGACTAGAACATGGAATGTGAGAAACATGAATGTAGGAAAATTGGACATTGTTAAGAAAGAAATGGAACACATAAATATTGACATACTAGGTATTAGCGAAATGAGATGGCTTGGCATGGGACATTTTGAATCAGATAATTATATGATTTACAATGCCAGGGATGAAAAGGTGAGAAAAAATGGGGTTGGTTTCATAATTAAAAAAGTCATTTGTAGATCTATCTTGAAGTACAATGTGGTGAGTGACAGGATAATATCTATACGCATACAAGGAAGTCCAGTGAATACCACTATCATTCAAATATATGCACCAACAACTAGAGCCAAAGAGGAGGAAATAGAAGATTTCTACCAACTTTTGCAGTCAGAAATTGATCAAACATGCGATCAAGATGCATTAATAATAATGGATGACTGGAATGCAAAAGTTGGGAACAGGGAAGAAGGATCAGTAGCTGGAAAACACAGGCTCGGTGAGAGAAATGAGGCTGGAGATAGAATGATAAGAGTTCGCACTTTCAATGATTTATTCATTGCAAATACCTTTTGTAAGAAACATAAACACAGACTATTTCCCTTATAAGAAAGAAAAAGCCTTTGTCAAATTATAAAGCAAAACATTTAAGTTTGAGATGTCAAACAGCACATTTCTACAGAATAGATCAAAAGGGGAAAAATTAATATCTAAATAATTTTGGTGATACAGAAAAGGCCCATATTAATTATTTTTAAATTATCTTTTGTCTATATGTGGTAGAAGGTTTTGTATTATTTTCCTTGGCAAAAATTCCTACCTTTATTTGACCCTGATTTCTTCTCTGTGAAATGTGGTTAATATGTTTTCTATGGCGCTGTAAAAAGGACCTCTACACACTCATAGTAGTAGTTGGCTAATGTTGTTATGTATCATCGAGTTGGAACTGACTCATAGCTAGCTCACCAGTGAGTTTTTAGAGGCAGTAAACCCCATGTGAGAAGTCAGCCTGTCTTTCTCCTGTGCAGTAGCTGGTGGATTCAAACCGTGTGCCTCTGGACTGATAGTGCAGTTCCTTACCACTAAACCACCAGTTCACTGATAGCAGTTCTTTAATGACTAAATGGCTACTTTGTTATTATCATCCTCATAATCTCTTCGTTGTTAATAAAGACCACACATTTATTTGTCACTTGAGATCTTCCAGTTTCCTACTTGACTAATTATCCACGATTACACTAGATTTTGTTTCTTCATTATCTCAAACCCGCAGAGGTTTCTCAAGCCTCACTACAAGAATCAAAGGAAAGCCTATTGAGACTCCACTATTTGTAGCCATTTATTTTGACTACTCAGTTATCTTCTCTTAAATCTGGTTTTCTTCCTATGAGCCTGAATATTTTATTTCTGTTTTTCAGATTTCTATGTTGGGCTTGTTTAATTTGGGAGAAACGTTGGCTGACTCCCTAGAAGAAGCATTAAATTGGAATGTGCATGTGGGCTACCAGATTTACTTTGGACATGTTGTGAGGAGAGACCAGTCCTTAGAGAGGGACATCATGCTTGGGAGGGTGGAGGGACAGTGCAGGAGAGGAAGGCCCTCTATGAGGTGGATTGATTCAGTGACTGGGATAATTGGGATGGGAGTGTCAGAGACAGTGCGATTGGCACAGGACAGAGTGGAGTTTAGGGCTATTGTACATAGGGTCGCTATGAGTCGGAGGCAACTCGACGGCACATAACAACAACAACTACATGTTGGGCTTGTTTAATTTGGGAGAAACGTTGACTGACTCCCTAGAAGAAGCATTAAGTTGGAATGTGCATGTGGGCTACCAGGTTTTCCCCAGGAGGAGGAAAACTACTAATACAAGAGGCAGTTCTGCTACTAGTTGAATATCTGTACTTTATCCATAAGCTTTATTTCTAACCCCCTTCCTTCCTCCCCTACTCTTGCTGTTATGCATTGCTATCAAAAGTCAGTAAATAACACAATTCTAGGACGTCACAGATAGATAAAAAGGACTACCAGTTATTTTGGGATTCTTTAAGACAGTTCATTTTGTTCTGTTGTTGTTATTAGGTGCCATTGAATTGAGTACAACTCAGAGCTTCCTATGAGCCACAGATCGGAACCCTGTCCTCTCCTGTCCATCCTCACGTCTCCGACAAACTTGAGCCCAGTGCTTCAGTCACGGGGTCATTCCACCTGTTTAAAGGTCTTCCTCTCTTTTGCCATCCCTCTACCTTTCCAAGCACAGTGTCCTACTCCAAGCAACATAACCCGATGATATTCAGTGTAAAATTATCAGAAACATATAAATAATGGTTCTCTTTTCTAATAGCACATTCTTAGTATCAGATTTTCTACTCTAGTTTTCCGTATTATTTTATACTTCAAAGTATAAGAAAATGTAAAGTGAAAACCAGAGCACAAAGGCCTGGTCCTTGATGCTTTCACTGTGCAGAGGACGAAGCCTGATCCCAGGCACCTCGACAGAGTCCTATGTCCCTGTGCTGACGCTGGCCGTCCTTTGTCAGCTAATGGAGGGGCCAGTCCAACAGGCACCCCTTCACTTTTCAGTGGAATAAAGACTTGCGGGCGGTCATCTTCTTCCCTGGCTTACAACCAAATGAAAATATTTGGAATCCTGACAACCTTTCTTCTTTAGAAACTCAAAGAGGATTAAAACGTATTTATAAAGATCAGCTCTGAGGAATGCTAAGCCGCAAGAAAGACTTTATTCAGAGTTGTCAAGTAATAAATGCACATGAATAACTGTCTGTTTAAGTCAGTTATTTCCTATACTCTATAAAGAATGCCCGTTTTTTAAAAAGTTGATTTCTGTTAACAAACAAAAATGAACTCTTTCAAACTAAGTGATCAGGCATTCGTGTTTGATGACTTCCTGATGCAAATTTTGAACAGTCTTTCCCTAGAAGTGAATGTAGAAAAGCAGGAAATATTTTTCCCAGTGGGTGAGGCGGTTGGACAGGAAGAGGTATTATGGAAGGAGAGAGTAAAGGGTGTGGAGATAGCTCAGGGAAATACCTGGAAACTGGAATTCATCCAGAGAAAACGAATATCTTTTTCTGTGGCCTGGGTGATAATTTGCAAAATTCTACGTTTTCTGTAGCGTGATGTTTTCCATGACTGTGAATACTACATATCCACTTCAGTGGGGACCTGATTGTGTTAAACTGACATCTTTCACTATATCTTTGAGTTGTGGTGCTAGAGATGAGTATTGAGTATTGAACATATCATGGACTGCCAAGAAAACAGACTGCCTTAGAGAGGGTGAAACTAGGTTGTTTTTTGGAGGCTAGGATTTTGAAACTCCATCTCTCATACTTTGGGCATTTTGTCAGGAGAGGCCAAACCTCTCCTGACATCATGCTTGGGATGGTAGAGGGTCAGAGCCAGAGAGGAAGACCTAGATGAGATGGATTGACACAGTTTCTGTGACAGTGGAGTCAGGTGTGTCAATGATGAAAAAAGGCCAAAATTCAGAGCTGTTGTTCAAAGGGTCACTGTTATTCATAGTTGACATGATGACACATAACAGCTATATCTACAAGACTGGAGCCGGGGGAAACTAAGAGGGGATAAATAATATATACTGCATTGAAACAGATGAGGGAGAGTACTGTTTA